ACAAACCTGTAATTCTACAATATTTCTCCTGTTACCTTTGAATTTTATTTATTTATTTATTTATTCCATCAGAGGGGATTTAAAATAGTAGGGGCAACTGAACATTGTCCTACAGGAATTATTCATCAAAAGAAAAGTCAGATGCAAAAGGCTAATTTAATGCCAAAAGGGTGTGTTGCAAATATCCCATCCAAGTGTGGATGTAAAATCCATAAACTCTTAAATCAGAAGTGGTTTATCTTAAAACATAGAGTTTGGATGGCAAAAGTCATCACTGAGTCATTTTTAACCACTTGGAGCAGAAGCTATGGGTAACACCCTGAGAAAATTAGAACTTGTGTGCCTGCATAATTTCTCCTGTGAAATGAAGAGTGAAGGAGAGCCAGAGGAAAGTGGAAGCATTGCACAGTTCCAAAATTACAAAAGCAGGATGTTTTTCAATTAAAACCGAGTGTTCTGGTTAGTATAATAGTGCATGGTGGCATGCAAAAGCAACACGTCACTGCTAGCCTGTGAGTAAGCAAAAGCAGTCAGAATTATCTTTGGCTGGCTGTTGTGTATAGCAGGACTGCGCTCTGCTGCTCAGCTGCTTGGGGCAGGCAGGGAAAGTCTGTGGCATGGATCCTAGGACAGAGGAGTGAAACTTGTAGCATCTCCAGTTATGTTTCATAAAGCAATGTGCCTCCCAGTTTCACTGTTGGTTCTAGTTCTGGGTTTGCAGCAATAGCGAGTTGTGCTGCTTTATGTGTCAGGTAAATGAAGTGTATGATCAAACGTATGTGCTGCCCACTATCTGTATGCTGTCCCTATGAAACAGAGATAACATTTTGTTTGTTGATTATTTTTTAATTGATTGCCAGAGGTGCAGTAAGATACATACTCCAGAATAAAAATGTCTTGAGTATATGTAAACTCATTTGAGAAGACTGAGTTGCACATTTAGGGCCTACAAGTTGTGCTACAAAATAAAGTAAGGTGTGATACAATTAACAAAGAAATGCGAAGTGCTGCGTTCTGTAGTGCTTGCATCTGCATCAAGCCTAGCAGACTTGCCTTCCTTGTGCTATTCAGTGATGTTATGGTGGGAAGCTCTTCTCATGGTTACAGCTTTTGCAGCCATAATTTATTTTGTAATGAGGCATCACTATCTCTGTCAAGTAAACATAACACACTATAATCCACTGACTAGTGGCCACTGCATAATCTGCTTCTGTCTGTGAAATTCTGATGGAATCATCCACGCTTGAAAAGAGGGTGTAGTGCAGGTAGTACTTTGTTTTAAAACCTACTCAGAGAAAGTGAGACTGTTTTATTTTTCTTTTTGCCACGTGTCAAGATATCCTGAAGGGCAGAACAAAGGCCCACTTGTACAGCTATTTACTATAATAAAACCAGTAAACTAATGCTCTTACATATTGCAGAGAACTATCTCCACGCATCCTAAGTAGGTCTTGGTTGTTGGTATGCTTCAGTGTGACTGTAAAGCCAAATTAAGTATTTCTTTGTAGTGAAATCAGGTTTATTACAGTGTAGTTCCCTTCTAAAATCAAGGCTCCTTTTAGGGATTTTTATCTAAAATAACTAATGAATGTAATGGCATTAAATAATAAAATACTGTTCAGATGCCAAAAATAGCTCCTCAGTCTCTTTGATCTGCATTTTGGCTAAAGATATAAAATTCCACTAGAGACTCTTACAAACAGACTCCATTAATCCAAACAAATTGTTTTGAAAAACAGCTACTGTAATAGAAGTTGATTAAGACGGTGAATAACACTGAGTTTTAATTTTCAGTACAGCTTGAATTAACTCCACATTAATTAGAGTCAAACCTCCAAGTCTTATTGTGCTGCTCTGGAATCTGCATATGGCTACTTCTGTTTGTCTTGGCTTTAATTAATCATTCTCTTATTTCTTGGCAGCAGCCATTATCAGGCAGGAAGGTATGGTTCCAGGTGTAGTCTTGAGCCTTCATGGCTTCTGCCTGCCATCTGCATACTGTGGTCTGTGCAGCACAGGCAGTCCTAGCAGCGAATGAAATACAGATACATTTTGAGTATTTTCAGCTGGTGCACTGATTGGAACTTTCTCTAGTAGTCTTTAAACCTTTTTTCTATCACTGAAAAAGTGCAAAGTTCATTTTTTCCATATCTGCATTGTTTAGTAACGCTCAGTGCATGTGTAATGTAAGTTTCTGTGGTTTTCCATGATGCTTAATTTTTTGTTTTGCCATAAGGCTTTTACATGACTGAGATTAAGAAGGATGCAGACATACATTATGTTTATAAAAAGAAATGCATCTGGTTCTGACAACACATCACTATTTTATGTGCTTCTGAAGAATGCACCAATTGATAAAATTATCTCAATTAAGAGTGTCAGTGGAGTTAATAAAGAGAAGTGCCTGAGAACTGCAGTGTCTGTATGGCTTGGCCCTTTGTGCACTTTGGGGACCTCATTTCTGATTGTCTTGTTCTTCCAAAGTTCCCTTGTGGGGCCGGGGAACAATTAGCTCCAGTAAAACAGCAGCACAGCAGCAGCTGGGCCTGCTAATGATGGGCAGTACGGGTTTGTGCTGTGCCATACATGAATTTCTCCCCAGGGCCAGTCCCTCGATATTATCCCAGCATGTGTTGTTAAGTGCCCTCAGACAAGGTGATGCCTCTCTGCATGGCATGCAGTGCATGCGTGCTCTCAATCTTATGTTACTGAAAACATTGCTCTGGGGTAAACCCTGTGCTTTGTGGATGTAACCCCTATGTTCCAGCCAGGCCAGAGGAGCAGGTACAGAAACAGGGCTTGATCAAATCCCCACAATGTAGCCCATAAGTAAAGAGTTTGCTATGTATGATAGGAAGCCAAGGTCTTCCTGCAAGACAGTTCACCAGATTGCAATTGAAAAATAATTTGAGTTTTCTTGAGTTTGATTATCAGGTTTTTGCCTGTTTTCCCTATTGCTCCTGGTATTCAATGCTACATGAATGTTCAAGCTTGTGGAGACCATATTAGAAATTCAGTGTGTGTGATTTGCAGTGGGGATAGAGAGCAAACCTGGTTGTTGGAGTACTCAGTTTGTGCTTTTGTCACATACTGCATTCAGTTCTTGCAAGGGGAGGATAGCTGTAAGAAGCTGTAAGTGCCAACATAAAGTGCTATTCAAGTTGCTATTCAACATGTGAATAGCAGTGAAGAATAGAAGAACAGGAGATGGCTGAGAAACCAAAGGCAGAGGAGAGTGTCCCTCTAAGGGGTGGCAGTGGTGGTGTGGAATGTGCACATTAGCCCCAGGTTGTAATCTTCCAAGGTAAAACAAGAAAGCAGCCCTAGGAGGAAGTGAGAAATTTCCTATCAATGTCAAAGTAAATGCTGAAAACAGCATTTATCGGTGTGAATATTGCAGCTGTGTTGTTCAGAACGTCCTTGTGGTACCTGAGGTGGTGCGTGTGAGCAGGGCATGGTGCCCGTGTGGCAGTAAGAGTGGAGGAGGAAGATGGCACTTTACATTTTTGCAGATTGTCTGGGGGGTGGTTTTGTGTTAGTTTTTAGTTTAAGTGTTTGTAAGGCTCCTTCTGTGTCAGAGGAGGAGAAGCTTCTTCAAAGGTTGATTTAGCTGTCTACATTGAGTATCTGTCTGGATTTCCCTTTGAAGGACCTTTCTCAGAGTTCCTCTCTTTGTGTTAGCTATAGAGAGCTGTGTGCTGGCCGTGATGCTAGGCTTTTATGACTGTTCCTCTAACTGTGTGGGGGGAAGATTCCAATAAATGCTCAGCACAAAGTAATGTAAATATTTTATTCCTCTGTCTCTGAAAGAATCTTGCATTGTTCGTAACGCTGCAGTATTGAAGAACATAATGCAGATGGGTTGACACTGTTAAATACAACTTTCAGGTATTCTAATATTTTGTTGACACCTATATTCAACTTTCAGTTACTAACATCTGATTTATTTAAGTGTGTATGCAGTGGGGAAGTATTAGATTCTGCATATCATCTAAGGGCTCGTTCTTAATAAGTTGCTCTCTTCTGATGGTCCCTCAGAGCTTTAAGAGGAGATGCAGTTGTACTTGGTAACTAGAAACAATACATTTCTAAAAAACAACTGGCTATTACTGTAATGGTCATTGCAGGAAACAGATGAAATTAATTTAGCTACTCTGTGGCTGAAATTAAAGGGTCGTGTCTGCTTTTCTAAATACATTGTTGGTCTAGATGATGTGTTTATGATATTATGGAAGCATAGAAATTTGTGGCACTGTATGAAGACATTTTTATTTCAGCTCTAATCGTAGGTAATCTAAACACAACTTAATGACTGACATCTAATATGGTAAATTGTAAAATATATGGGTTCACTGTCAATCATGCTTAGGAGCCACCACTGCTGTGAATGTAGTACTTATTTTCTTGTTGTGGGGGGAGAGTGGCTTTCTAGTTTATGTGTTTTTAAGGAGTAAAAGAAGCAGTTTTCCAGCTCTAGTACTGGCACAATTACTGTCAACTTTTTAAACGCTTGGTACTGAACACAGACTGATGCCTGAAACTCTCTAGCTGGTGCCAAGGGCTGACTAGGAAGCGTTGGCTGAAAACCTTCTGTTTAAATAAAGTGTGTACTCAGCACTTGCAGCTGCATTCAGAATTGAAGACTAAACCATTTTTTGTATTGTGCTGGCAGTAAAATCAGAGTGTGACTTTCAATGTGAATTGAAGGCGCTTGGATTTAGATTTACTTACACACTTTTAGCAAGGGCAGTGCAATATTGACCTATGGCACAAGAAACTTACAGGAAATTAAACATTAGGAAGTGTTGTGAACCTGTTGTTGGTTTTTTTTTCGGGTTTTGTTTTTGTTTGTGTTTTTCAGTTGCATGGCACTCTTGAGCTACCCCTTAGCTACATAGGTAACTAGGAGCTTAAAAGTGTTTGAGTGGAGTAGTTGCTGTTTCAGTCTCCTGTGGGGTTTTTTCATGACTTTCTGTTCTTTTGTTTTTTTCCTTTCTTAGTCTTCATGAAGAAATCATTGACTTCTATAAGTACATGTCTCCCAGACCTGAAGAAGAGAGAATGCGGATGGAAGTGGTGAACAGGATAGAAAACGTTATAAAAGAGCTCTGGCCTAATGCAGATGTGAGTGGGACACTGTTCTGGTTTTTAATAAGTGTTTTATGCCTATTTACTTCATGAAGTATTGAATAATGAAAATACTGTTTATTTTTCCATATTTAAAACAAAACAAAACAATACAACAATAGCCTAACAACAAAAGGATGCCTGGTCAAATGAGAGAGATGATCTTTCTTCTTAGAATAATACAGGTCAACATTTTCTGTCACACATAGGAGCAAAGACAATCTAGATCTGCTGTAGTCAAAGAAAGCTTGTAAGGTATGGCTACACTTAGTCTCATGAATATTTATTTACTAAAATTAATGGGAACATACAAGGCATGCATGCTTGTAAAGTATTGTGTTAAAAACATACATATCTTATGAAAGTCATTGCTCTGCTAGTAGCAGGGCTTCTAGTCCAAAGACCTGTGGTCTTGAGTAGTCTATTAAGCTGGAATGCCAGCAATGTCATGTTACGTAGACCATGCTGTTTTTAATAGCCAGTTAAACTAAACTGACATCTTACAAATTTAAAGGAACCACGTTTTTTGTACAGAAAAAAACAAGTTTGTGGATCTGTAGATCTGTTGTATTGATCTTAAAATCTGGAATACCTCTTTCCACTGAAGATGGGATTTTGTTAGTACTTCATTCAGTTGAAACAAGTTTCTCCTGTGCAGAGCTATGAAAAGATTGGGTTAAAGAGAAGCTGGAGAATTTGCTTCTACAACTCGACATGATTTTATGGGCACACAGTTGGATAATTGCATCTAGTTTAATTGTATCCCTCCACTAACATGGTATTCATTTTCAGAATGCAGATGTATAGCCGTAGTCGTCTATCTGTAGATAGATGGAAAATAAGGACTTGTTAGCTGGAACAGCAGCACAAATTCAGACAGCAGAATCTTAGTATAAGAAATGCTCTTTGATCCTGCCCAAGTTAAAGATAGTGGTTTGACATGAGAATCTTAAACTCACTGTTCATTTCAGATCTTCTTAGCCTGTTTGGAATGTGGTTTTTAGAAATTGGAAGAATATGACAGAATAGGAATTATTTCTGAACTGTATGTACGTGGTGGGTAGTTTCGTGTGTAAAATACACTCGCATTTTCAAGGTGATTCAGGTGACAACCAACCCATTTAGTGGCATGTACTGTCTGTACTTTTGTCTGCATGTTGCCATAACTGCTTGGTGTTACAACCAGAATACTTCTTCTGTCTTTTCTGCGTGCTGTGAGCGTTTTGTTACATAGCACTCACTTCCCCAGCTCTCCCATCATGTAGTCTGCAGCTCCCCTTGCTCCCAAACCAGGAATCATACTTCTTACTTTCTTCAGCACTCATCCTGGATGTTACTGTGGCAACAAAAATACCAAATAGTCAGATGAAAAAGTAGTATAGAAATCGGTTTGAAAGGCTGTTGGGATTGCCATGTGAAAGCTGTATTGTCTTGTACTTGGTCTGACATTGGTAGCCGGCCTTAAAAATGGCACCTACTGTTAGGTGGTTTAACTTCTCATTGACGGCCTTGCAACTTTCTTAGGCATAGGAATGTTTAGGATTGCTGAAGGATTATTAGGATTCCTGCATGGATTATTTTCAAGGTGTGGGAGTGGTGGGATTTGTAATTATCCTCAGGACAGAGGATATTTTTACATAGATTTTTCTACACTGTTTGGTTGTAAATGCAGAAGCTAAAGCCTGTCCTAGAGCATATTGAAACTGATCAACCCACAGAGCCTCTGCAGGACTGTACCTCATGTTAGGTTCTTTTCTGCATGCAAATTCCAAACTACAGCATTTTATCTTCAGAAGTTTTAACAGAATTGTGGGGTCTTTCTTCTTCTTGGCTCAATCCCTAGGTACCCACCTGATGGTTTTAACTAAGTATTTTGTCTTTGTACCTGGGGTTTCTAAGTAGAAGTAGTAGTAAACCCTGTGGCACATGCAGTAAAAGTTGCTGTTGCTCCTAAGTCATGCTCTGTGTCCCTGCCCGTGGCAGGGGATTGGAACTAGATGATCTTAAGGTCCTTTCCAGCCCTAACTATTCTATGATTCTATGGTCTATGTATTAGTGATGTATCATATGGATGTACATATATTCAGTACAACACATATCTGGTATTTTTTTTCATTGAGTGAAACAGTAACTTTTCCACAGAAACTGTGTAAGAGACTTGAGCATATCTCACAGCTTTTGTATAGCTCTCCTGTAACCCAGTGAAACAGTGTTTAGACTCTAATCAAGAGCAGGAATAGTGGGCTGCCTGTTTGACAAGCGACAGTGTAGGAAACAGCCTGGGTAGAAAACAGTGCTTGCTCTGATACACCCTGCGAAAGTAACAGGAGATTTCGCCATGATAGCTAGCTAGCTAATTGCTTCAGCCAGGAGAAGACTATTCCTAGACATGTTTGTGTACTGCAGATCTAACTAGTGTAATGGGGTGAATGAGTCTCCTACCAGGGAATCTTTCTTTGTTACCAGCAACATTTTGAATAGGGCACGAGAACTTAATACTTCCAGAGATACTGTTTGTAGGACATGATCTGTAAAAGCTAGGTCTTCTGTATTAAAATAGTGGGGTTTTATATATATATGACTTTGGGGCTTGAGAAAATAGTGTTTCCTAAAGCTAATGAAACTGGTTTTTGTTGCTATAGTCCCTTGAAGAGGAGGAAGCAAATTAAAAGCCCTGCCACAAGTGACAGCTGACCACTGGGGCTTAGCTGTAACCTAACTGAGAGGAAGCATAACCCATGTAGCTGAAAACTGAGGTTCACTTTTCAATTACTGCGAATTAAAACTGCCATGACCCTCTTTTTTTTCCGTTCTTGAAAATGATCGAGAGCAAGAACGTGCCAGTTTTTCTCAAGTCAGTACATGCTCTTCAGAGCCTAAATTCATTTTGTGTGCTGCTGTTGAGGGAGAATTCTCCTCTTGTATGCCCTTCCATTTTCTGGAGGGTAGAAAGGAACTGAACAGTGACACAGCACACCAGGTGACAATCTGGAAATTCCTGTAATGTTAGTTTTCTAATACTTTATAGATCTGGTGGGGAACTGAACTGCTGAACTCGACTGTGTTCAACTTTGACAATGTTTTATTGTAATTTTTCAGTTGCTTGAGTTAATCACTAACCTTTTGGAAATTGTGTTGGTTTAGCTACTTGTAAGATTTAAGTTTTGAGTACACTCTCTGAGAAGGTAAAACGTTATCTGGTCCAATGTCCTCACCTTTAGCTGTAAAGTGGTAAGTTAATGTTTAAGCTGTTCATTTTGAATCATAGATGCAATTAATCCAGCTAAAATAAACTCATAAGTTAAACATACACATTCAGTTTGTAATTTCTAACTGGACACATAGGTAAGACAGACTTTATAAAAATCAGATACCAAGGAAAATGAAAATCAGGCTTCATGAATTAAAACATGTAGACTATAGTGAGTGTGTGGTATGTGTCTGTGCACATACTTCTTTTTCCTGTTCCACTTAGGAAAAGGGTGAAAAAGCACATGGAGGGAGGGTAAAACTAGGTACCCTAAACTGCTACTTTTATTTATAGAAGTTAGCAATTGTGTCATTTGCTCTCTTACTCAGGGGAATGTGCTTAGAAGGAAACATTCCTACTAACTGAGAACTGTTCTTGGCATCAGCGAGGCTCTGACCATAAGAAAAGCTTTAATTATGCTGAAACTGAACAGTCCAAAACATTAAATGAAAGCATTTTAAGACAAAGTTTTTTGACCAGTTGAATATGAAAGTTTGACTATTGAACAAGTAAGTAGCTATACAGTGGAATTTAGGATATGCTTGTCGTAATGTCCTCAGCTTCGTGTATGCCTATTATGTAGCATCATAGATCTGAAAAGAGGTAATGTGGCATACTTCACACTGCTCAGTTGTGAAAATACTATCATTGGAAATGGAAGTAGAAAGTTTAACTCTATTTAGTTTGACAAACTTTGGAAAATTCTACCTAATGATGTAGAAGAAAGGGAAATCTAAATTGGATGTGGATAAGATTTTGTTTTGTTTTGATGGAGAGACTTTGGTAGCAAGGACTTTCCAAGCTTTTGTGGTTTCCAAGCTCTGTTATTCATAGCAAGGACATATTTGGACACACACTTGTAATTAAAGCTCCTTCAGGATCTTTGGAATTTAATATGAGTAAGTTTGAAGAAATGTAGGATAAATAGTAACAATAACATACAGGAGCAGGAATAGTCCATTATAGTGCTGTAAATTTTTAAGTAATCTTATGAATGCAAATACATATCTCTGTCCATGTAGAATAAAACCATAATTGGCAGTGTTGGCAACTACAAAACTAGTTCTCAGGTCTTTCAAATCATGACAGTGTCCTGTATTTGGGATGCTTTAGATATGTATGTGGCTACAGAGCTTCAACAGTTTAAATACCAATTCTGTAAGTCAAAATCCTTTAATGGTTCTGTTCTGATTCGCTCACTCTTCCTCTCCCATCTTTCCAGATCTGATCAGAGGCATTGAAGTGTGGGTGTGGGTTTCTTTTATGATAATTCAGTGTTTCTCATACTCTAAATTATTGTACAACAGCAGATGTTGTCTCATTCCTTTCTGTAAAGGTCATATATGTTGAATCAGTAAGTTTATAAATACTTTTGAGCTTGTTTATTCAGTCAAGGCTCTCTTTGCTGTTCAGCTGAGCACACTATTTTGTTTAAAAATGTGAAAAGACATTTATTTTTTCCAAACCCATCAGTGGTTTGGTTGTAGAAAAGCACTTTTCCACATATCCACAGATGTTTTTGGTGGCCAAATAAATCCTGGTTTGACTGAACCCAAAGAGTTTTACAGGGGATGCTTTTACTATTATCCTGGATTTAAAATAGTTAATAATTTAAATTTAGATAATAATTTTTATTATTACTTTTTGGTTCTGTGATGCGTTTATACTTTTGTCAAGATCTAGTACAATATTGACACTAGTTCTGTGGCATCTCTTGCAGTCTTTTCTAGTTTGAGAAGCTGAAAACTTTTAACATACAAATTACTGCCAGCGTGTGCTTTTTGTTGGAGATGAGGTGAGGGATTGAGAAGAGTTAAGCAATTCAAAATAATCAAGAGGAAGCACTCAAACTGCTTCCTAGTCTACTAAAGTACCAAAACATTTACTTGCAGAACATTATCTTTTCCCATCTCTCCCTTTTTCATATCCTGAAGGTGAAAAACATGAGAAGTGGGTCACTTGACACACAAATAGGTGGCACTCAAAATAGTGCAAGAGACTCGTTAAAGCAGAATACACAAGTCTGTACAGTGGCTCCAGGTAACACATCAGAAGACTGTCTGGTTGAAAATTAGTCCAAATGTGTAGATATTTGCACTTTGAAGTCTCACCACTCACCCTTTGAGACTTAGCACATGAGTCCAGCCTCCCTGTGAAGCTTGGCTAAGTTAATGAGAACGTGGTTTCGGACAGCTTACAATGGAAACCTCCTTATTTAAACCTCCAGTTCTAGTAAGAATACAGCATAATAAATGAAATCTGGGAGATATGAAATTCTCTGGAACATTTTTTGTTTGTTGTTTAAACAGAAATAAAGAGAGTTGTGCTACTTGATCTGTGATTCAGAAAAACCTGGATTGTGATATAATTTTTTTTAGTATGCAAAGCAATGGAAATATATTAAACTTAGAAAATGTGTTAAAAAAACTGAAGGGTACACTTTGAGATATGAAAGCAAAAAATAAATTGAACTGATACTGGGTTTCTTTTAATGTTCTATCATTCTAAAGTGTTTTAAGCCTTCTGGGTTACGGATTTTTGCTAAATTGGGTCATGGTGAAATTTTTTATATGAAAAGAAGGTTTTGTAATAGAAGAGTCAAAGTTATTAATGTTTCATGGGTAATAACAATGAAAATTAGTGAATTAAATACACTGAAGATGTGAACGCTTTAGCAGAAAAAAGTACTTCTGTTCAGAATGTGCCTGTTAGCAATACCAAAATCTACCAATGGAGGGTAGCCTTTACAAGCCATTTAATAGAACTTTTTTGTCTTCTGAAGCCTGACAATTTGGTTTCATATCTTCTGTTCTGTGTTTCAGGTGCAGATATTTGGAAGTTTCAAAACCGGTTTATATTTACCTACAAGGTCAGTAATTTTTCAGTATAAATTCTGTACAAGAGAAAAGATAGCCTGTCAAATCTTTACCTGTAGTGACTTATCTCCCAATATCCATGTTACTTGGGTGTATAACTGTTATATTATGAAAGTGTTAAGCTGTTAGTACTTTGCAAAGTGCATAGAAAAATTAAGACTGTTAACTGTAATAGCTGCAGCTATATAGGTTTTGGTGAAAGACCTATAGTGTGGTGTTTATTCTGTTACTCCATGTTATATTTTGCCTAATATCCTTTTACTTAAGCTGATACTGAAGGTTTCAGCATAGGGTTGTTTTGCTGCTGGATGTCTGTGTTATTTTGCAGACATATTTATATTCAAGGTGACAACAGAGCTGCTTTTTCTGTCTTGGTGTGCATCAGAGAAATGTCTCTTATTAACTCTCAGGATCAGTAGTGGGTTTAACACCAATTTAGTTTAGAAGAGAAGCATCCAGCAGCATTTCATGTTCTCCAAGCAGGTTTTGAACTTAAGTTTTCTGCAGCTGGCTGAGTGCTGCCTACCCTTTCAGCTAATCAGTATGCAGCTGAAATGCTGCTGACACTGCTTTTTGGCAAGAGGTATTTCATCTGCTGCAGATGTGGTTTCTTTGAGGTTGTTAAAGCAGTGTTGTCTGTGAATCAGCAGACCTGTGGAATCTGTTGGGGAGGAAAAGTGTTACAATTTTTTTTGGTGTTACCTGTTGCATAGTTTTCTATGTCACTGAAGTGGCCTGCTTGTGTAGCTGCAGGGTTATATGCTCTCCTCCTCTGTGTTTCCAAACAAGCGGGGGAAATCAAAGAAGTTGGGTAGCAAAATGAGATAGCTCAAGATCTCACAGTGGCCCCCACAGTCACCTTTTGGATCTGAGTTTAGGCATTGAATTAGGATGTCAGCTCCCTGTGTAGTCAGATGAGTGTGTGTGTGTGTGTGCATAGGGAGGAAGTGTAGTGGGATGAGGACACCTCTTCAAGGAGCTGAGTTAATGAATGAAGTTAATTAGATGGTTTGATCTTACTTAACAGCTTGTTGTTTCCTGAAGTCAAAGTTGCCACATTGTCCTCTCTCCTTCACTGCTGCCTGTTCTTGGCACTACAGGCCAGCTGCTTGCCATGTGCTGGCTGGTGTTCTAATCACCCAGAAACCCAACTTTGAGATGCAAAGTGGCAGAAAATTACCCCAGAGTGTTTTGCGGGTTTCTTAGGGGTGGGGAGTTGGTTTCTGGCCAGACCCATTAAGTTGATTTGCTGTGGACTAGACAAACACCAGACCTACAGCAAAGGAGGAGACTGGGCCATGCATCTGGGAGCAGAGGATGGGGAACAGGACTTCCCTTTCAGTTACACACTGTTAAATCAGCATTACTGATTGATACAGCCCAGAGGTGGTGCTCCACAACAAGTTAGTGTCTTTCTCAGAATCACTCTGGAGAAGTAGATCCTTTTCTGCTGACAGTGTGGCCTGAAGAAACAGATCTTGGGCTTTGCAGCCCAGGTGGTTTATGTGTGTACCTGTCCCCTCCCTTTGTAATCTGAAATGTTCTGTAGTTCTCCAGGTGTAAGAGTTCATCCCCTCCTCTTTCTTCAGAAAATTAAGAATAAATTGTTTGGCTAAGCTACCTTTGGTCACTTTATTCTAGTTATGTGTGGATGTCAGCTGTTCATCTTTTAAGTGTATCGGTCTTTGAATAAATCTATTTTCTTTCTATTTCAGTGATATTGATTTAGTTGTGTTTGGAAAGTGGGAGACATTACCTCTTTGGACGTTGGAAGAAGCTCTTAGAAAGCACAATGTAGCAGATGAAAACTCAGTAAAGGTTTTAGATAAAGCAACTGTAAGTTTTGGGGAAGAGGGTATTTCCTTGTTCTAAGCTAAATGTCTAATAAAATAACTTGATTAAAAGGATTATTTTTTCATAAGCAGAAACTATTTTATATATAAATACAAGATAGAACCAATAGATTCTTTTTACTTCATACAGTTTTTATTACTCAAAAAAGCCCAACTTAATAGTGCTCCAACAGAAGCATTTCTTCTGTTGGGGAAAATGTGATTTTTCATACTACACAACATACACTTGCTTTTAAGTGAGACTCTGCTAGTCATTGTTGCGAATTAATGTGATTAAACTTGTGAATTTCTGGACTTAGTTTGTACATGAGTAAATTAATTTTTCTTATTGTAAGGAAGCAGACATAATACATTTTACATAGAAGTGCAAGTACAGCCTTACGTGATAGTATGCCTTGCACAGGATAGGATTAATTCCATTATAACTTCCTACCTTCTCCTAGTTCTAAGATGATAAATGTGTTGCGGTTGAAAGAAGTGTCTAATTGATGGCTGTTATTAAGAGAGGTAATTTGGAAACCACTCACATCTCAGTATGTTGTGCTTCTTGTCTGAAGACAATTTTGATGAGGAATCAGTGACCCACAATAACACGAGTGTGTATCTTATAGTGTCTATTGCCGTTTATCTTCATTTCTTAAGTGTTTGTCTCCCTCTGGTGTTTGTTTTTCCCTCTAGAGCTGTGCTGCTGCACCAGGAACTGACTAAAAGCAATATGAAATTAATCACTTTGAAGTGTTACATTCTGTTAAACAAGATAGTAAATTGAAAATGGCATTTATGAGTTAGAAAAGCAAAGTTGATGAAAAAAGATTGGCAAATAGAGCGACTTCATATATAGACAGGAGTCCTGATTTCTCTCCACAAAGTCATAAAATGTTTCAGTTTTACTGGTGCATAGAAGTATGAATGAAACCAAATGTGTCTTGGAAATCTGTGTTGACTTAACCTATTTTTCTTTTGCAGGTACCCATTATTAAACTGACAGATTCCTTCACTGAAGTAAAAGTTGATATAAGCTTTAATGTACAGAATGGGGTTAAAGCAGCCCAGCTCATCAAAGATTTTATCAAGGTTAGGCAACACTGTAATAGAACTACAGAGCTGAATATTTGATGACCTGATTTTATGTTTTACTTCGACTGCATCCTGACTAGAGATATGCTTTCACTCTGTTATTTTTATGGTCTGCTACTACTCTGTGATGTTCTTAGGTTTTAGATATTTTGCCCTGAAAGGCATGAAGATAGTAATGTATAAAATATTGAGGAGTTTTAATGGTACAGTGACTAAAGAAAATGCACTAATACCTGTCTTAAATGTTCTGTTCTAACCGTGGTTCATTGAACTTAAAATTAGTAATAGCCATGTATTGCTGAGAAAGGAGGAATAATCTTGTTCTGGAATTAATATTATTTCAGCATACAAATGCTGATAAAGTAGAATAAGTTAAATTTAGTAAGTTATTGTTCAGGGAGTCACTAATACATGTATCATAGATACAGTTCTTTTTGTTTAGTATAGGGGGTCATTGTGTTAACATTAATGTGCTTTTTTATTTAAAGTTTTGAAGGAGCATTACACTATTTCCCTTCCGCTATTCAGTGTAAAGGGACACTGTAGTAAATATAGAAGCAGTAGAACATTTCTTTTGGGTTTTCATGTTCTGTGTAGGGAGATGAAGTGCAGTTCAGTCTTCCTTCAGTGTGTAGGTATTACTGTTCTACTACTAACTTTGGACTTTTTAACCAAATTAATGACAGCAGGAGAATCAAAAGTATTTCAATAGTTGAACATGTGAAACTCCTTCATAAAACTCCATAAATCTGGATAAAGCAATTACTTCTCTTCAGTCTTAAGGGTTAGAAATCATGTACGTCTGTTTTAATAATGTCATTGAGTAGCAAGACGTCTCCTAAATTGGGGGGAATTTTCAGTTTGTGATGAGTTGAATGTACAGCTTTCGATTTATTAATCTTCTTTTCCTTTATGTATGATTAGAAGCAAGTATGAAAGTAGCTCAGTTTCCTTCTTATAGCATCTATTTTTTTAACCTGTAGAAGGACACAGGAGAAAAACCTCTATCCTTACTTTCAGTAGAGTAGTCTGAGTTCTTGTCTGCATAGTCTCACCTGTGTGCTTATATATAAACCTTGTGCTGATGAGGCCTCTTGCACCCCTGTTCAGAGTAGGAGGGTGGGGTGGGTCCAGAGACCTTCCTTCTCTCAGCATCTCTGTGCTGGACAGAAGTTGATGGTGTTGGCCAACCTTTTGCTGCTGAGTCAAGACTTACAGTTCTGTGCTATGTAGCTCCTTGTTGGGGAAAGAAGATTCCAGATTCTCTGTCTTAGGATACATACCTGGAACTTGGCAGCTGACTTCAGCTTTTACATTCTGTGAGTTGTTGCATTGCCTTCTGCTGGACAGGCAATCTGTATTTGGTTTTCTGCCACAACACAGGGGCTGTATTTCAGTTATATTCTGTGCATACGTTTCTTCTTAGGTAAGTCCGTAAGGCCCTGTCTGCTTGCCCAAAATATCCTACGTGCCCCTTAATTTCAAGAGAAGAGGTAGTCTTCTCTTAAGAGTTTGAAAGCATTTTTGTGTACTTAACAAGAGAAGTGTGTTAGTGTGTTCCTTTTGCCGGGGTTATTTGCAACTCATTAGAGACCCTTTGGTCTTGGATCAGGGCATGGTGAGAGCAGTCTGTGCCCCTGGGGAGGGAGGGGGAGCTGTGAGTGGCAGCTGGTCAGGCATGGGGAGGGGGTGCAGTCCCGTGGTATCAGAGGAGCAGAGCAGGTCTGGTGACAGTAGCTGGGGTCAGCTCACAGGCTGGTCAGTGGCTGGTAGACAGTTTTCCAGTGAGGAGGTTGAGGCTAAGGACATCAGGTCAGTTGTTAGGGTCAGGATCAGCATCAGTCCACAGCAGCATGGCTCAGGCAGACACCAGGGGAACAGCAGAGATGAAAACTAGCTGGTGGAGGGATGAGTGAGGTGGAGAGATTCCCAAAGAGGCTTTCCACAGGGCTGTTTTCCCAGCAGCCCAAGCCAAGGCCATGTCATTGTGCCACACCAGAGCTGGCCTTGACCATGGGTGATGGGTGGCCCATGCATGGGCAGAGGTGGCGCTCAGCTCTGGCACATACTGGTAGTGGTGTTCTTGAGGATCTCTCTATGAAACACTTGCAGGGCATTCTCTTGGGTCTTGTTTTGTCCCACATTGCTTTGAATTACCTAATGGAGGTGTCGTGCTCAGTATTACCCTTGGAAATGTTTGTTTCTGTTAATCCATTTTATTTGGGAAGTTTGAGATGGCCGAAGCCTTAATTAAGGGTTTGCAGTTTCCTAAGAAAAATTCCATCTCTTAATATACAGGCATAGTCAACACCTCAGCTTGTGACTCTAAGTTCTTAATAGTTCAAAAACTCATCTTGGGATCTTCAGTTAAATAAGGCTCCTGATACCCTCCGTAAGACTTGTGCAGATTTGTTCTTGGAGGAATTCCCAATTTCCCTGTAATCTTTTGCAATCACAGATACCATGATCCACATCTCTTCCCTGAAAGTAAAGAACTTCTTAGCTCTGTGTTGCTAACAGGAGTGATATTATTGAGCTTCCTTTTCCCCTACCTTGTGAGGGGGTGTTCAGAGTGCAGGGGTAGTCCCAGCCTCCCCTGCTGCCCAAAAAGTCCATGTTCTCCACACATGCAGCGTATGCACATCTCTAAGGAAGTCCACGCTGACAAACCTATTGAAGGACCAGGTACCCAAAGGTAAGTATTTGGGTCCTCCGAAAGTGTTACCTGGATGCAGTAATTTTGAAGAACTGTTTTGAATTCTGGGTATCTGATGGATTTGCAGAACAGAAGTTCCAGCCCACTGTGGGATATCAGCTTGGTTGCATCAGGAATGTTTTGCTACAGACATAGATATCTCCACAGTTCTTCCTTTGCTTTCCTTTTCACTTCGATTTGAGAAAATCAAATGTATTCATATAATCTAACAAGATCATCCTGATTTTATTAATAGTTATATTCATAACTTTTTTTCTGTTGTTAATGTCTGCCACTGGAGTTGAAGAGGTAAAATACTTGGAGTGACCGCAGGCAGAGCAATTCGCTTCTCCCCAGTATTAAAAATGATAAATCAAAATTATACTTAGCTTTGAGATGTAACAGCTTCAGTATGCTTTCTTAGCAGCAGTTGTGTATATGCATCAGTATCCTAACACCTTTGCTTTTCTCTTTCAGAAATACCCTGTGTTACCGTATCTAGTTTTAGTATTGAAACAGTTCCTATTGCAGAGGGACCTTAATGAAGTATTTACAGGGGGAATCGGTTCTTATAGTCTTTTTTTAATGGCTGTCAGCTTCCTTCAGGTAAGCTTAATGAAATCTGTTGATGCCATTGGAGCAAAAGGATATAACGTTAAGAAAGAATTTGATCAACCCTTCAGTTTAATCATCTACGCTATCCTGGTTTTGCACCCTCTTTTTGTTTAAAAATAGACACATTCCACCTGCCTTCTTTTTCCCATACTGGCACTTTTTGTATCAGGCATGTTTGGAACAGCCATTGGTGTATCAGTACCAGGCATACATTCATGGTAAAATAACTTGACCATTGTATGATTTATTTGGAGCAATCTGGTTCAAGCAGGTTACTGTTAGATGCAGGTGTCCTTTATAACCCTTGTTTTCCAGGTCTAACACCCTGGCTGTGCTTTAACTTAGTAGCAGAATTTTGCTAGCTTGCCTAAGTTTTTAAGCCAATACCAAATAAATGTGTTTTACAATTTTCTCTTATGTCTAAGAGAACAAAATGCACGAACAAAATCTATATTGTTGTGCCTGCAGGAGAAAAATATTGTAGAAATACGAAGTAGCTGAGTTCTGGCTTTATCGGCCGTGTTCTTTTTCTTGTATTAAATGCTATTGTGTAACTTCATGTGTACATGTGTATGTCTGTACTTTCCAGATTGTAGTTACTTTTAAACCTGAGCCTTGAGCTGGAGCTTGGTGTTTGCTGAGTGCTAGTGCAGTTGCCCGCCAAATACAAAATGAATGAAAAGGACAGGCTTATCTTTTTGAAAGAAACCAAAATCTCTCCCATCCTCATTTTTTTCTTATATTGACTAATAGCCTCTCCATTTGCTCTACAAAAAAAAAAAAGCAGTGAGGTTTTTTATCAGTTACAATTATGAACAGGTTTTGTTTATAATCCTTCAGGTTATATACCTAACAGCAGAGGGGATAATTTCTATAGCTGTGAACGTTAACACCTGTATTTATATTGCAAACCCAGGTCTGTGAAGTGCAAATACATTTGTTTTTTACAAGAGCCCTGCTGTTAGTGCTGGATGTTCACTTACTGAACTGAAAGTTCAAATACAAAAACATTAATGCTTGACAGCCTTATTTTTAAGAGGTAATTAGTTTATAGAAGTTTTGGTAGCATCTTGTTTTAAAGATTTAAGACTGCTTTATCAAGGAAAATAGTGTACTTAGACAAGTTTGTTTTATATATTCTGGTTTTATTATTTTTTACTGTATTTAGGCATGCTTGTTGTGACAAAGCAAAGGCACTTAAACACACTTGAAACTTAAAGTTTGAGGAAAACCATTTTTTTCTCTCTTCTTAATAGCTGCATCCCAGGGAAGATGCCTGTATGCCGAATGCCAACTATGGTGTTCTTTTAATAGAGTTTTTTGAATTATATGGACGTCACTTCAATTATCTGAAGACTGGAATCCGAATAAAGGATGGTGGCTCCTACGTTGCCAAGGATGAAGTGCAAAAAAGTATGCTGGATGGCTACAGGCCGTCGATGCTGTATATTGAAGATCCGTTACAGCCAGGTATTGTCATAAACCAACACTTAACATACTAAGAAAAAAAATACGGGAATGTTTAATCCAGAGGAGATAAAGAATAGTAGACCAACCACCAAAAACCAAACAGAAACACCTCATTCATGTCTTTGAACACCAGGTGGATGCAGAAAACTACAGTGTTCTTTAAGACATGTTCCTAGTAAAAGTTACAGAGCATGCCTGTGCTGCAGTCAGTGCTACATAAATGCAGAGTGGCTTCGTTCTGTAGTTACCTTTACGTTAAGGTTGATTGTTGGCTTCAGTGGGGTGGCTTCTGGAATGGTAAGTCAAGCGCTGTTCAGAGAAGAGAGTTAACGTATTTCTGATCTGGAAGAATGTCCTCCCGGACAGTCCTGTTACATGTGTAATATAAGCAGTGCAGGATTTTATGTTTGCTTATTTTTTTATTTATGTATTGCACCTTGACCCAGAGAATTGCCATTTTGAACCTCTGTGCATGTAAATTTCTATAGGTCTTTAAGCTCTTTCAAATATGCTCCACTAATCCTGTTCTACAAGAGGTAACCGCAGTGAGTTGGGACATAAGGGCAATTTGTCTCCTGTCTGAAAGGAGATAACCGCAGTTTCAATCTTACTTTTTTATTTAATTCTATTCTTACTTTAAGGTAATGATGTTGGGAGGAGCTCCTATGGTGCCATGCAAGTGAAACAGGCTTTTGATTATGCCTATGTTGTTTTGAGCCATGCAGTTTCCCCAATAGCTAAATATTATCCTAACAACGAAACGGAAAGGTAAATTTTATGAGTCTAAATCTCAGTCGTTAATTGCTTATATTTCTGTGTGTCTAAAAATTGTGCTCATGGTTTTGGGGTGGTTTTCTTTTTTCCTCATTTACAGTATTTTAGGTAGAATAATTAGAGTAACGCAAGAGGTGGCCACATACAGAGACTGGATATCAAAGCAGTGGGGAATGCAAAGTAGGACAGAGTCTTCATGTAACGGTGAGTTTTGACTAAGCATGGCTTGATACTGGGAAGCTTCCTGCATGCTGTGATCAGATTCTGTTGTTGCTTTTGCCTCGTATAAGGCAGTGCATGTGTCTTAATATGAATACACTTTTTTGCTTTCGGTTTTGTTCTGATCCAGAAGATGTGGATTTATGCAAGAGTAGAAAGGCCATGCCATGTCTATCTTTATTCTGCTGCAGTAGATGTGGCCAGCATAGAGGTCTGTAAGGATTGCTGGGCTTGCAATAGGAGACTTCTGAAAAACTTCCAACTCAAATTACGCATCATTACTGTCACAATTCCTTTGTCCTTTAAAGGTTGACAGGGTTTTATAAAGACTTACTGCCACACAACCTGGTCATGACAGCCAACCCTTGTTCAGTTCCACAAGCTACAGAGTAATGCTTGGCTATCTGATATGATGTATTAACCTCTGTATGCAAACACAGCTAGTGAGGCAGCACATGTATGCTATGTAAATCAGAGGTAACTCCTGGAAGTCTTATGTGAGATAAAACATTAATAAAATAACCCTGTATCAGGAAAATAATGGTGGCAGTTACAGTGACCATCTTGTAGATTTAGTTTAAGTTCTGATTCCTTTTTTAATTAAGGTAGAAGTTAGTGAGATATGAGAGTTCTGTGTCTCTTATTTTCAGGGTAGGGTATCATGCAAAGCAACCAGACTTACTTGAAGTTCTTATGATCCTAGCAGCTCCAGCAGAAATAAAATGGGAGCTGATGAGTATTGGGCTCATAGGAATGGAATTTAAATCTAGCTATCTGAGTGCTATTGAAGTGTTGTGGATCAGTCTTGTTAAGCAGCACATCTCAACTTTGTTACTACCTTCTTCCATGTCTTAGCTCTCTGATTTCCAGCTTCAACTGTAGGTAGTGCTTGCTGGTTTTCATAGTATACATGAATGGATCTTGGGAAACCACCACACCTTCTGCGAGTTGTTGGCTTGCTGCATGCAGTACATACACGCAAACGTGCGTCTGCATGTATTAGAAGTATGCACGTGTGCAGATGCCTGTACATGTCCTGCTGGATATAATAGATATATAATACCTAAAGGGATATATTTAAAAAAAAAGAAGAAAAGCATCAAGTTTTAGCAGTTATTGTGTGGTGATGCTTCTCTTTTGTTTTTAATAGGTAATGGAGTAACCTTGATAGTAGATACTCAGCAGCTAGACAAATGCAACAATAATGTTGCTGAAGAGAACGAAGCACTGTCAAAACCTAGAAATAAAACTTCAGAAACACTTAGTAAACATTCTTCAAATTCTTCATCAGGTCCTTTATCATCATCATCCTCTACATTGTCCAGCTCTAGTGATGTAGTAAGTACTGGTGGTTTTCTGATTTCAGGGGTTTTTTTCAGTTTCTTTAGGTTTTGGTGTTTTTTTTTCCTGATCTGTACTTCCACAGAATACATTTGTAAGTTTGGAATCCCAGTTTGTTATGACATCCAGAATCCTATCTTGCATAAGATGTTACCTCCTATGTAATTTCTACCCTTGTAAGTTGCAGTGTAGTTTTGACACAACACACAGAAAGTGAATACAGTATATACAGAGTTACCATAGCCCTCTTTTCTCTGAAAAAACTGTGTTTAAGAAAACCAAGACTGGTAGTCCTAAACCTTATGCCAAAAAAAAACCCAAAACCTTTAAAGTGTTTGGGAATTCTGTTTAAAAAAAAAAAAAAAGCTAAACCTAAAATCAGAATCATGCATCAATACATTTTTAAATCTGGCTATTTTACTCTGTAAAAATTCTGTATTGAAAGAATTTTAATTTATAATAAAATAAACACGTTTGAAGTTTTGTCCACTGCTAGCTAGCTTTATTTTTATGGGAAAACTCACTAATAGAAAAACTCACTTAAAACAATCACTAATACTTTACATTTTCCTGAAGGATTCTGATGGAACACCTTGCAAAACCTCTAAACAGTTGAGTTGTCGCCAGTCTGCCACAAACAGAGTGGGTTCACAAGAAGTGTCACTGGAATCCTCCCAGTCAAGTGGGAAAACACAAAACAGCCAAACAGCCAATACTTCCAGCAGCACGAACAAATCTCAGGTTTGTGAAACCTTTGGAAACAACTGTATAAATCATTTGAACAGTACACATCCTTCATGGAAGAGTAGCTTGTTCTTGAAAGGAAACACTGCGTTTTTCACCTCCCCATTACCCCATTAAAAAGCTTTGAGCACTGATTGTATCTAAAATCACCTGGTTCTCTGTTTAGCTTACACAGAGGAGTTTTGCAACAGTGGCTTTCCCAGCCTTCAACCAGATGAAATCAGGTTGAATTTTATTTTGGGAAACCTGGAGTTGCCAGCAGTATACAGCTGTGCTGAACCCATTTCCTTTTGTGCAGAAAGCACATCAGTCCAGTCTTGACCTCAGAATTTGAAAACTAAAGAGTTACACTCAGTGAAAAATGTTAGTAAAATGTTACGAATTATGACTGGCAGCTCTGTTAGCTGTTGGTACTTGCTGAACTGTTTTTCATTAAGGGAGATGAAGATTTCTTGCTGATACATGAAATTCCCTCTTGTTTGCCCCTAAAGACAAATACCTTTATGATGAGAACTACCAGAGTTTATGCATTTAAAGGATTTCTCATTTTGAGGAGTTACAAGTCAGCAACCTAGAAATATTATATGCCTCTATATAGAATATACTTTGGATATATGCAGTTTAAATTTTTATACTTTTTTCAATATTTAGGACTTCTCTAATACATGGAACATAGCCTGGAATCATCTGAAATATTGCTTCCGACAAGTAATGCTGGAAACTTTCCTCCTACTTGCTGACAGTCTATCTCTAGCTAGTACCGAGTTTACAAACTGGCCTTGGATATACCATGAATGTGTGTGTGACTACACAGAGCTAGTTCCAGTGCTGGAATGTGAAAATGCACTATTAGAGATACTCTATGTATATAAAAAGATGTGGTATAAAGATAGTCCTAGCCTTAAAAGATTCTTGTCTTAATTTTGCACAGAAGGTGAGATTTCAGCATTTTTCATCTGTCATCTTGGATTGTGGTTTTCTGCTTCTGTAAAACACTTTTTGGATAGTTGCAAAATGAGAGCAATAAAACAGTTCTATCCTTTTCACAGTTCAAAGTGCTCTGCTCTCCTCTTGACCTGCGTAGTGTTGGGTCTAGGGATGAACATCTGTGTGCAGCCACTAAAGTGAAAGGTTCATGGTACTGTGCTGCTGTCTAAGCAATGGCCTGGCTTCTTTTGCTGTATGAGTTGTTCCAAGTGTAATGCTTTCATGAGTTAAAGTCCTCATTATCCTGAAATAGGGTTGTGTAGTTGCCATACTTTATTTACTTTTAGCACTGATTTACCGTGTTCTCTTTCTTTCACAGCATGGATCTGCACGGTTATTTCGCTCTTCTAACAAAGGCTTCCAAGGTCCAACAAACTCAAGCCACAGTACCTCAGTCACAAACAAACAACATCAAGGCAGCAAATCACACCATCCATTCTTCCACGGCAAAAAGAGGAAACACAAGAGAGATGCAGCCCTTTCAGACCTTTGTAGATAGTTGCCTATTTTATGACTGTTCTTCTGTGTGCAATGATCTCATGCTACAGGATAGTTTGATAGTGACTCCTTGAATCTTTTCTGGAGCTTCAGACTGTTCAGACATTGATTAGCAACTGCATTTTTTTTTCCCAGCTCGCCACGGAACGGATCATGAAGACTGATCACTGCAAAAAATGTTCAAAAAAAAAAAAAAACCAACCAAAAAAAAAAAAAAAAAAAGAAAAAATTAAAAAGAAAAAAAACACAAAAAAAGAGGAAAAGGCTGCTTATTTGATAAGTCATATGCTACAACAGGGTCATTTAGGATATAAAAGCTTGAATGTAAAATAAATGTATTTCCCATCAGCTCATGCTGACCTGTAGAGGTAGTACTCAGTGTGTCTAGGGGGTGGTAACAAACAAATAAAACACAAAAAATAGGAAAAAAAAGCAAAAAATTTTATTTTGAGGGAAACCCAGCCTTTAAAGGTGAAAGTAATTTGTGCATGATTTTTTAATTATTTTTGCATATACTTACCATTTTATTGTGTATATATAGATGACAATATAGGAAAACTGACATTTGTAATAGTGGATTTGTTAATACTTTTTGCATAATATTATTGTTTAAATTGTAAACATGAATTTTTCTCAGGATCAGTTTGGAAAATAATCTGAATTGTCATCTTAACATCCATATAAAGAGACATTACTAGTTATATTGCTCAGAATTTCTTTTCTTGCCATTTAAAAGATTTACTAGAACATTTGATCTGCAAAAGCTATTTCTCTGCAAGAAAGGCTTATGGTGGCAAATGAAGTTTTTCATTTGCATAAAGTGTACATGTACTTTGTGTAGACACTGAGCTTGTCATCTCAGAGAAGTAACCTTCACCCTGTTTTCTAGAGTGCCATCATTTCAGGCAATGGGATTTTATAGTTGCATCCTTCTCTTCCTCCCTTTAGTGATGTCTCCCCAACCCTTTCATTTTTTTAAGAAATGTAAAGCCCCTGGGGGGGAGGGGTTGTTTGGTTGTTGACTGTGATTGGTTTATTTAATTTTTGTTTGTTTGTTTAAAAAAAACCTACAAATGACAGAACTAGATTTGTTACAGACGTTTGCATTCCTGGGCTGCTTTAATCCCATGCCTCTTTGTTTGTGCCTTCCCTCCCCCTTCCAGATCTGAGTTTTTTTGTCTTTTATATTTTTGCTAATTCCTGTAGGAGATGATAACTGTTGAAGCTTTAAGTAAATTTCACAATTAAAGTATTTTTTTTCTCACTCCCCTCTTAGGCATTTTTATATTTACACTTAATTATTTAAAAAGCCAAAATGACTTCAAATAATAAAATATATTTTGTACTGCCTTAAAGACCCAAACTTTTCATATCTCATAGTAGTTCTTGTTGAGCTAGCTATCATTTAATTTCAGTTCTGCTTTTGTCCGGTTCAGTTGCATTACACATCTAGGTTGCAATAACTCTGATGCCATGAATGCGAATGAAATGTGTAGTTACCCTCACACACAGGCATAGAATGGGACAGTAGCTGGGACACTTTAGTGCAGGGAAGTTAAGTGGCATTTACTTTTACATAATTCTTTAAAGAGGAAGGTCTGCAGTTGGCATATGTGGCTGTATTTAATGCAGCTGTTCTGGAGATTATGCTTTCATAAAATGTACTATTAGCTTTTAGAAACTTTTTTTAATACACATTTACAGAATACTACAGACCAACCTGACCTTTAATGGGCACTAATGAGTGCAGTGATTTTAAAGTAAAATAATGCTAAAATAAGACCAGAACTGATGTCATCACTTACATTAATATTTTCAATGCATTAAAGTGTCTTACTTCAAAAAGAATTTTTTTTTTTACTTCAAAAAGGAAAATTCAAAAAAACTGGAAAGCCATAACATTTACTCAAACACTAAGCTTAAGTGATGTTAATTTGACAATGGTTGGGGTTTGTTTTTCTTTAATTTTTAGATTCATATTTTAATTTGATCAGATAATTTTATCCACCAGATGTTGAACTTTTGTTTTATAGGAACTAGTAAAAGTTGTACCACATTACACATTATCACAGTATTTATTTTGGTTTAGATTCTTGTGAATGTGTAGAATGTCCCCTATGTTTGCCATTTAGGGAACAATTATTTATAAATTATATTAATCCAGTATTGTTAGCTGCTATTAGCAAAACTGTTCCAAAACTTAATACTTGCAAAGATCTGTATCGCATTTACCACACTGAAGTGTTTTTAAAAGAATCACCCTCATCGTTGAAAGCAAATGTACTCTTAGGGTACAGATACTAGTGTTCCAATAAGCATGTGATAATTTTAAGGTGGTGGTAGCGGGAAGATAATCTTGATTCCATTGGGAATCTTAGGTTTGCCTCAATTTATGGTTTTCATAAATTTAATGGAAAATAGCTTTTCCTGGACTGCTCAAGTTTCTTTTTGGTAAACAGTATCTTTCTAAAAGAAAAAAAAAAAGAAAAAAAAGGAAAAAAAAAAAAAGCATGAAGGAAAAATTGAGGTATTTTACATTGCCTCAAGTGACCAGCATTGTATTCATAAAATACTGTATATCTTGCAAATCTTTATTTAAACAGAACAGTTGAACTGTTCGTTTTTCAATCTGAAGTAAAATACTTTCAAGACCTTTTAGTTTGCCTGCTCATTTGTCTTGTACATTTCATCTCTGTATTTGACTCAAGTCTAATTCCTTTTTGAGTTTCAATACTTTTGTGAAGATTTTGTGAATATATGAAAAATAAATGTTTAATCTAACTACTGCAGTTTATCACCATTCTTGACACTTAACCTGTTTTTCCTTCACAGCACTGAGTGTGGAAAGAGCAGGCTACATGTGTAGTCTTGCCACTGGTAGTCTACCAAAGACTGTCTGAAATAGATAAATAAGCTTAAATCTTTATATGTCTTGCTTTTTGACATTAGTTTGATTTGTTAAAGGTTCTTTTCCTGAAATAATAGTTCAGACGGTGTTTATAGTTAAAAGATGTATATTACGTTGGGTTTTTTTGTCCGTCTTCTAGCTTGTAGCAGAAAAGAAGCTTAAATGAAAGGAAACCTTCCTGTTTGTGAGATGTGACATTAATTCTGTTTACTAACCTCCATTTTCTGTGCAGCTTCCTCAGAACTTACAGCTCAAGATTTTGAATGCTTATAGTAAACTTGTTTTATTATAGAATAATAAGAAGAATATAGAAGAATAAGAAAATAGTCCAATGGCTGATGGCAATTCGCTTGTGTACTTTCAAAATGGACCTTTCCCATTTTACAACTGGAGTCATCATGAGTGCATCCTAAATATAATGTGAGCAGCTGGCTGGAAAGTAGTGTCATCTTGAAAGTGCATTGCAAATAAAAGCAAGCCAGCCATTCAACATCTTGATGGATGTTAAAATTCATGATAGATGTTAAAACTGAATGTGCGACTCCAACTTTATTTCCTGAAGAGTAAAAGCTATAGGAGATTACAAAGTATGTACTTATTCAAGAAGGGAATATATTTACCTATATAGGGCCTGTAACGAAAAAAGAACATTTAATTAGTGTTGAAGTGAAAAACATAGTGATTATTTATTCTGCTGACTCCTAGAAATCGATTCTTTTGCTTAATGGTGCAGAAAAGTTTTTGAAGAATCAAGTCTACCATGTCTTGAAACTGTCTTGAAAGTGCAGAATTTGAGAGCTTAGTTTTCTAGCTAATTTGTAGTGTTCCACAAGTTTTCCTCAAAAATGTTTTCCAGGTGCAGTGACTTAAATGTAAATATGTCTTGCCTGTATTTCCATGTGTAGTTTACCGTCAGTTGACATATACATATTCATGGTTTCATGCATAAGTTGAAAACAGCTTTGCAGTTCTCATGGTGCTTAATTACCTCACAGTTGTAGGGTTTGCTGTGCCAAAGTTACTCAGCTCTGAGCCTAATTAACTAATTTTCAAAGGTTGGTTATTAGGATATTAGAGGTGATCCCAGAGAACTTACCCAATACCAAGAATCCTTTGCAGGTTACTTAATAGAGAATGCTCTGAGTAACACAAGAATTAAAATCCAAATGGCCTTAATTAGTCTTTACAAGCCCAAAGTTTGTGTCAGATGTCCACTTGAAAAGGAAATAAGAATACAAGAGCCAGAAGGTGGCTGTTACTTGTGCATTTGAGCATGGTAGTGCTCGACCAAATTAATCTTCATTTTGATTACTCTAAAATTTAGATTAGTCAGTTTTGAACAGCTTTGATTTTAATTCTTGGTCTGTTTACTGATTGCGTCACCATGACCATTTTACCAGTTCGTGGACTCCAAAAACTCGTAACAGAAGTTCAATGCCTTTGGCAACACCTTGACTGTACAATTCAGTAGGCCTTTCTTGGCAGTAGCAAGCTTAAAAACCGTTTATTCTCATCTGCTCCTTCCTGTAGCAGTGCAACCAGTAGGGAACTTGGATATGTATGAAATGGGGGGGGGGAAGGAATGTGGATTTTTTCGTTGTTGTTGTAAATTAATTGGTAAAAGCTGATGGAATCCTGAAAATCACTTATGTGTAACAGTAAGTAAGAGAAGATTCCGCATAAAAGCCCTTTGGAGGAACGCCATCTTTTTGCCTGCCGGGGTGCACAAACAATGAGGTGCTGCAGGTCTTACGATGAGCCAGCTTGCTCTGACATTACTTTTTATCAGATACAGAATGACCAGAGCAGTGAGTCTGATCACTATTGATGATCTTAAGGTCCTTTCCAACCCTAACTATTCTATGATTCTATGTGAAGGTTTCTACATTCTGCACCAGGTTTAAAAAGCAGTCGTTTGTAGGCAATTAGACTGATTCTGGTATGTCTTTTTTCTGCTCTCTCCTGCTGGGAGTCCTTCAAAAGATGTTCTTTTAACCCTTCATGGCTCTTGATATCTTAAGCTTGATGAGTCTTCTGATCCTTTTTTAACTCTGAGGCTACTCCTTATTTTCCATGGCCCAGAGATTTGGTGGCAAGTATGTCATTTATCAAATCTAGGCCAAAGGGCTATAGTGAAACAGAAAAGGGATGGAGATTGGTAACACTTAGTATTTCCTGCTGCTACAGCTGCTTTTTAAAGAAAAATAAAAACATAAACCTCATGATCTGAGTTGGCTGAAGTAAAAATACGTCCCTGTAGCCCCATATAGCCATATTTGAACTAGTTTCTGTGCAAATCCATGTGATGTTTGGATGCTAGGATGATTATTTTTTTATTTTCCCCCTCATGCCCCCCCCCCCAAGTCCTTCTGTATAATGAAATGCTAATTTCCCATAGTACAAAACACCTGAGGAAGAAAACGCTTGGCTGAGTACAAGAGCTGGCTTGTAAGGAATGCTTTTGTGTGGTGGTAGAGGAAGTCTGAGGAACCGTGTGTGCAGAGTGGTGTTTTGCTTGTTTAGAAAGAAATGCTCTCATACAGGTAAATATTTCTTATGTATGAAGCAGTGTTTGACTCGAGCTGAAATACTAAGCAATCAAGTGTTTCTGAATAGCTGTTAGAGAAAGTAATCTGTGCTTTCAGCTGCATTCTCCCAGGTCTAAAGTTCATTCACTGAACCAGATTTGGTGACGCTGAAATCTGAAAATAAACCTGGTTCAAATTGCGGTTTTATGCCACCTGCCATTGTAATAAAACAATATCTGTTCTCAGAGCTCCCATTTCTGAAAAACACAAACCAAATTTACCTTACTGGTGCGTGTACAACAGATTGTAGCACCAGGAGTACGATGATACATTTTTCTTACAAAAACAGTATAATGTGGTTTAAGTGAAATACGTATTAATAGTTGCTGTTTGCATTTCCCTCCTCATGTGGCCTATTTCCAAACAAAACCTGATGTTCATTCTTAGACTTAGTAAGGGACTGACTAAAGGTGTGTTGTTGGGTTTTTTCCTCCACTTTCTGATCCACTGTACTGGGTCTTGACTCAAACTCCCTTGTGGTTGCCTGGTAATCTGTAACTGAAAAGACTGTTCTGAGTCAGAAAAATCAATGGCCCACCCAACAGCAGCTATAAATCT